TTATTTACTTGACAGAGAGAGCGCAAGTAGGCAGAGAGGCAGGCAGAGGGAGAGGGAGAAGCAGGCTCCCCGCCGAGCAGGGGGCCCGATGTGGGACTCAAACCCATCATGACCTGAGCCGAAGGCAGCCGCTTAACCGACTAAGCCACCCAGGCGCCCCAAGGAATCTAGATTTCAAAATCAAGCTCCAACACTGGTCTGGTCTGGGTGACTCTGGCTAAGTGACTTTTCCTTTCTGAGCCTATGTGTTTGTCGGCAAAATGAGTTGAAGTTCCCTGGATGATCTCAAGGGCTCACTCATCCCTCACTCACTGTGGGACTGGCAGGAGACCTGTCACCCCTGTCACCAGTTTGCAGGTCTCGGCGGGTAGGCCAAAGGGTCCTGAATTCGGATCACCCCACTCAGCGTCGGTCTTCCTTCCCTCCCCGCCCGGCCCCTAGGCTCCAGGTCCGCTATGGCAAGGTGTGGAGCGACTACGTGGGCGGCACCCACGGAAACCTGAAGGAGATCTTCCTGCACCCTGGGGAGTCAGTGATCCAGGTGTCTGGCAAGTACAACTACTACGTGAGGCAGCTGGTCTTCAGCACTGACAAGGGCCGCTACCTGCCTTTTGGGAAAGACAGAGGCATGAGTTTCAATGCTGTCCCCTTGTACCCCAGCACTGTGCTTTGATTCATCAGTGGTCGCGCTGGCTCCCTCATCAACGCCATCAGCCTGCATTGGGACATCTACCCCAGTGACTGTGGCAGTTGCTGAGCCTCAGCTTCGTCCCAGACTGGGCACCACAAGGGGGTGTGAGAACCTCTTTACCATGAACCTCATCCACATGGCTCAATAAAAAAGCTAAAAGGACATAGTTATCATCTGTGTCTGTGGGGGTGTGCCGCTGGGATCTGCCTCCTGGCTCTGGCTCTGGAGGTGCGAAGCTCGTTTCTGGCTATCTGTTGGACGGACGTCATTCTGGGGAAGAGTGGGAGGGAGAGAGAGAGAGAGAGAGGTGCAAAAGTCTTGGGCTTTTCTTCATAATTTATCAAGAGGAGATAAGATTCGGGCTTGTACCGACTCTTTTCTTCAAGGATAGCTCCCGAGACTGTTTACCCAAACTGGTGTTCTAAGGCTGGGGGTAAGGCCTAGCTGTGGCTCATCGCCAAACGCCCAGATGTTCCACTCTCTCACCCTTCTCTCCCCTTGAGATAGTGCCTCTCCACCAAAAAAGGCTCTTGACCTTAACTCACTTGCTGTCTCTGGCCTGGGCCATTTTCCTTTGTTCTTTCCCAGAATCCACCTGACTCCCAAAGCATGGCCTACGTTTGTGTCAAGGACCTTGCCTGTTACTCCAGCCTAGTTTCCACCCCCCCCACCCCGCCGCCTTTGCCCAGAAGCACTGGTGTCCTTGCTTAGTTTAGCTCGCTCAAAATTGGGCTTGTTTCCCTAGGAAGCCACCACCTCCTCAACAGCTTCTCCTCTGCCAATACCATCCTCAAACAAGGGCATTACAAGAGGGGTAGATTTCCATCGTGGGTTTCCATGAACTTAGGGGGCTGCTTAGTGTTCCAGAAGCAATAGAGTGGCTGCAGAGATACATCAAGGATATAAAGTTGCTTTGGAGAGAATTCTTAGGACTCTAGTTGCCAGTCCTAAGGCTGTGACAGTTTTTTGTTTTGTCTTTTGGTGGTGGTGGTTGGGGGTGGGGGAGGTCACTCAGTGCTCCCAAAAGATTGATTCACACCATGGGGAGTGCCGGAGTCACATTTCTCCCTAGTCAGACAAAGATAACAATTATGTAAACATAATTTTATTTTTATTTTTTAAAGATTTTATTTGTCAGAGAAAGAGCACAAGCAGGAGGAACAGCAGGCAGAGGGAGAAGCAGACTCCCCGCCAAGCAAGGAACCTGATGTCGGACCCGATCCCAGGACCCCAGGATCATGACCTGAGCTGAAGGCAGAGGCTTAACTGCCTGAGCCACCCTAGCGTCCCTACATGTAATTTTATTTTATTATTATTATTATTGTAAAGATTTTATTTATTTATTTGAGAGAGAGAGAATGAAAGAGAGAGCACATGAAGGGGAGGAGGGTCAGAGGGAGAAGTAGACTCCCCGCCGAGCAGGGAGCCCGATGCGGGACTCAATCTAGGGACTCAAGGATCATGACCTGAGCCAAAGGCAGTCGCTCAACCAACTGAGCCACCCAGGCACCCTATTTTATTATTTTTAAAGATTTTATTTATTTGACAGAGACACAGTGAGAGAGGGAACACAAGCAGGGGGAGAGGGCGAGGGAGAAGCAGGCTCCCTGCTGAGCAGGAAGCCTGATGCTGGGCTCGATCCCAGGACCCCGGGATCATGACCTGAGCCGAAGGCAGATGCTTAACAACTGAGCCACCCAGGCGCCCCCTTACATGTAATTTTAGAAAGAAATACTAACATTATAGAAGTAAACTCATACCTAGCTTGTTTTTATAACAATTTCTTTATTTCTCTCCAACAATTCCATGGAATGGAATAATTATGTCACTGTAATTACATTTTTTTTGAGATATAAAGCACATAAGATTCACCCCTTTAAAGTGTATCATTTCAGTGGTTTTTAGTACAGATTGTGCAACCATCATCTCTAATTCCCGGATACTGTCATCAGCTCAGAAAGAAACCTCATCCCCATTAAGCAGTCACCCCCCCCATTCCTTTCTCCAGCTCCTTGTAACCACCCATCTACTTTCTGTCTCAACGGATGTGCCTATTCCCAACGTTTCATGTAGAGGGAATCATACAATAACGTGGCCTTTTGTGTCTGGCTTCTCCCACTTAGCATATTTGCAAGGTTCATCGATGCTGTAGCACGTGTCAGGACTTTGTTCCTTTGTATGGCTGAGTCTGATAGAGCTATCTGGTCAACTTCAGGACACGCTTTAAGCTAGCAGCTTTCACACGGGGCCGGGTGGATGCACTTGTACCTTAGAGGCAGAAGCAGCAGAAGAGGATGAAGTAATGGGATTCCTGGCTATTGTCTAGCCTACATATTAGGCTTTTGTAAAAGATTTGATTTAAAGAAAATTTTTCTTTACTTATAAAGTTTGAAAATTGCTAAACTGAGCTAATCATACATTTATCAAATATTCTCTGCTAGGTGCTTCAGAATACAAAGACCACTGAAAGTTGGATTCTTTTCCTCTAGGCTAAGGGAAGACTTGGTGAAGGAAGGGGTGTGTGTGTGTGTGTGTGTGTGTGTATGTCCACGTGCGCACATGTGTACAGGGGCCCAGTACTGGGCTCAGGCCCCAGGTTATGCAGAAATACGATCATATGAAAATGACAAGTGGTTTAGCACAGCTAAAATGCAAAGTACAACTCGGCAAAGATGAAGCTCATGGACAGGCAGGGACCATGAATGTCATGCTAAACTATTGAAACTTTATTTATTTTATGGGCTACATGAAGCCATTTAACCAAAATTTCACGCAAGGGTTTGATAAAGATTTATAAGAAAGTCATTTTTTTCTGGTATAAGTAGGGAAAATGGATAGAAGGTGAAGCAGGGTAATAGTTAAGAGAATAGGTCTAGATCAGTGATGATGGATTATCTGAACAAAGGCAACAATGTGAGGAAGAGAAGGGAGGGAGGGATTTGAGAGATTCAAGGGGGAGGGTGGACTCAGAAGAACTTGATAAATGAACGCATGAAGGTGCATGAAGGAGGAAAGTCTAGAACTACCATGTTTAGTATCGGCAACTGGGAAGAGTTGGATCCTCTCTAAGATGAGGAGTACAAGGAAAAATTAGCCTTGTTTTTAAATTAATTAATTTTTTGGGGGGGGAAGGGCAGAGGAAGAGGAAGAGAGAGAATATTAAGCAGGCTCTATGCCCAGCGTGGGGCCTGACACAGGGCTTGATCTCACAACCCCGAGATCAAGAGTCGCATGCTCCACCGACTGAGCCAACCAGGCGACCCCTACAGATAAAGGGATTTATTGCAAAGAATTGGCTCTACAACTGTGGAGGCGGGTGAGGCAAATCTAAAATCTGGAGGGCAGGCTGGCCATCTGGAAACTCGAGGGCAGGAGGGCGTGCTGCAGTCCATGGGTGGAATTTCTTCTTCCTTGGGGAAACCCCAGTTTTGTTCTTTTGCTTCCTTGTAAATTAATGTATTATATTATCAAATTTTACACTTTTAGTAACTTAATTTTCTTAAAATTTTTTTCCAGCTTTATTGAAGTATAATTGACAAATAAAATTCTAATATTTTTGAAGTATACGATGTGATTTGATATGTATATCTGGTGAAAGGACACCCACAATCAAGTTAACTAACACACCCATCACCTCAGTTACCTTAAAAAATTTTTTTTGAAGAATAATTGACATAGAATATTGTATTAGTTTCAGGTATACAACATGGTGATTCACTATTTAAATACATTATGAAGTGGTTGGCGTGCCTGGGTGGCACAGTCAGTTAAGCGTCCAACTCTTGGTTTTGGCTCAGGCTGTGGTCTCAAGGTTGTGAGATCGAGCCCCGCCTTGGGCTCCATGTTCAGCAGACTCTGTTCCTCCCCCCTGCTCATACTTGAACTCTCTCTCAAATAAATAAATAAAATCTTAAAAAAATTGTTACAATATTATTAACTATATTCCCTATGCTGTATATTATATCCCCATATCTTATTTATTTTTAAAGATTTTATTTATTTATTTGAGAGAGAGAGAGAGAGAGAACATACAAGCAAGGGGGAGGGGCAGAGGGAGAGGGAGAAGCAGACTCCCCACATAGCAGGTAACCCAATGCGGGGCTTTATCCCAGGACCCTGGGATCATGACCCAAGCCAAAGGCAGACACTTAACTGGCTAAACCACCCAGTCATCTCCCATATCTTATTTTATCAATAGTTACCCTTTAAAAAAATTTTTTTTGTGAGAATGCTTAAGATCTACTATGTTAGCAAATCGCAATCATACAATACAATATTTTCAACTTTAGTCACCATGCGACACAGTGGAAAGTCTGCGCCCTTTTACTAACATCTCCCCATTTCCCATACTTCCCAGATTTTGGCAACCACATTCTACTGTTTCTATGTGTTCAACTTTTTTTTTTTTTTAAGTAATCTCTACTCCGAAGGTTGGGCTTGAATTTACCACCCTGAGATCAAGAGTGGCGTCCCCTACCAACGGAGCCAGTCAAGAGACCCCGTGTTCAACAGCAACACCTAGATTAGTTTTGATTGAATGCTCGACTACAGCCTAGCCAGACATATAAACTACCTGTTGCACCTGAGAAAACCTAGGAGGGCTGGGGGTGGGGAGTTAGGACAATAGCAGGCAGTGAAGGAGTTTGCTGACCAAAATCAGATAAAATGATTACTGAGGAATGCAGGGAATTTAGCTATTAGCTACTAGAGGTCATAGTGAGTTGACAGAGTACTGCCCAGGGACTTGGGAAAGCTAAGTCCTACTTTTGCACAGCTACATGGTCTCATTCAAATCTCTTAACCTCTCTGGGTTTCAATCACCCATTTGCAAAATGAGCTTCTCTGGGTCACATGCTCTCTAAGATGTATTGAGCTCATACATCTAGAAATCTAATTTCTAAGACTTTACTGTTACATGAAAACAACTGGCCTCATTGTGCAGTGGTTGAATGCTATATAGGGATAACTGAGCTATGTGTATGAAGAAGGTGGCCTGGAACAGGGGCATGCCTGAGGTCTCCCCAAGTAGGGAGTGTGCTCTGGAACATGTCTGGAATGAAGGGCTC